TCGAGCTGTTTAGTTTTAGTTGATTTCATATAGTTGGTGCATGTAGCTTTATACAACAATTAGGTTTCGTACTCACTTATTAAAAAAAATTAACATTCACAAGGAAAATGCAAAATGATAAGGACTTATACAGAAATTATTGTAATAAATATGAACACTTAGGGTCTGGAACTCACGATATCTAATTTAGATTTAATCAAAATCAAACTAATATCCAAACATTTTGGCCGTAGAAGTAAAGATAAGTTCTGTATGAATTATTCGTATACCGATAATGGCGAAAACCATACTTTGATATAATTATGACACGTTTACATTTGCATAATTTTCTAATGCAAATTGCTGACAAGTAATTTATTTCTCAGGAGAAAAAAATCATCAGATGAATGCTGATTGATTATAAATAACTGTATCAGGTTTAGTCAGGCTTAATATGCAGCCCTTTTTCAGTTATGATAATTTTCCATTTTTACCTTAATATTCATGTAAAATAAAACTTGATTTTCATATAAATATAATAATTATGTTGTTTATTATAGATATTTTTGTAGCTATTTTGTTTCATAACAGTTTGTTGATCAGTTTCGGTCTGTAAATGACTTTGCATAGTTACATAGTTTAAGACCGATTATGCGCCAGGAATGCTTTTATTTCTATTCCTGAAAAGCGTTTTGTTTGGTGTCCTGCCGTAGTTTCTTAATGCTTATTCTGAATAATTGGTAAATCACCTGAAGTCTATTTTGCTTCTGCTGATTTCTAGGGATAATTATAGCTAAAGTAATTTCGTATTCCATATGGAAGTTCGAAATTTGAACTGACAAAAATAAAGAAAATACGCAGAACGAAAACAAAAAAAAATGTATCAAGTTTTACTGTAATAAACATCTAATCTGATTAAAACGCTAATATTTATATAATCGCTCAGAAATTTAGCAAAGTCATTGTAGTTATATATTGTTCTTGAGGAAAATAGTTTAAGAAAAACATTATATTTTTGTTCATTCTTAACCTTTACAAAAAATAATATTTCTTAAATCAATCATTGATACAAGGCGACCATGAAGTTTTACAAAATGAATGCTGTATTATTAAATCACTCGTGACTTGCATGATGTCTTTCAGTGTTTGAAGTTGCATTTTATCTATATACAGAGCCACACTCATAGTCTATATTGATCGCGGAGGCGCCAGATACGTTTTTTAAGCCAGAAAGACCGACAATTATTATTTCAAATGATGATACATATTTGCATCATTTTGAAACAGTTTTACTTTTTACCTGTAATCATCTTTATTCAAATTAGATACAACAGGAGGTCTGCTTTAAGCAGGTAAAATATCTAGTACTTTTCTTATAAAAGCAACATGTGGCGCAATGTCATATTGAATCTATTCGCCCATATCTAACAATACATGGTAATTATTTTGTCATTAATAATTCAATGCGTGTTAAATATTCCTACATAGAATATCATAATGTAATGTGATTTTGGTACATGTTTCAAAGGATTGTCTTTTATAATGGTAATTAACCAATGATTGTTATGAAAAATGATAAGAATAAAATATCCAAAACACCCGAAGACATTGAAGACTTACCAATCTTCACATCTTTTGAGATACCGATTGATGTGAAGATATTTATGCAAAATTCGGGGGTCATGTGAGTAATTGATTTTCGTTTGTGAAACAGAATATAGAAATAAACACAATACTTTTAATAATGGCAAACTTTAATGATAGAGTTATTATAAAATTACATTTTAAATTTTGATGGGAAAATTTTAACTTTGAATATATTATGAAGGCCACATCACCCATTGTGTAAAAAATCTGTAATCTACTAGTATTACTGTTGTCACATTAAAAAAACTGGTGAACTTGTAATGTAGTTTTGTATTTAACTATTATGTGGATATATAAAATGGGGTTGTAGCTAGAAATACATGACTGAGATTGCAAGTTATCAATCGTATGTTGTTTTTAATGACAATATTGTCTGTTTTCTAATTAATATATTTACATTTAATAAATATATCATAAAATAAAACATGAATTATATATGCATGTACATAATGCCTTTTATTGTCACATCACTCATTTACATTTTGTATGTTGCAGTAATGAGCCAGAAATAATACCAGTTGAACTTCTGCATTAATACATCCCTTGTAATTTTTATAAGCATATAAGTCGACAGCCTTGTGCAACTCGTGATTAATAAGAAGTGTTCGGACAGGTTATTATCATTTTTTGTTTGAGAAATGCAAACAAAATTAAAGCATTACCTTTGATTGCCAAGTATGGAACGCCGTGACTGTCTTATGTAATCAAAGATTTTGTTATTTTGTGAAACGATGATATTATTTTGTCGTTTGAGCGTGTTAACATGTGCAATTTACATCATGTCTTGTCAAAGGAACATGCTGACTTGTACAAACAACATTTTAACTTGTCAAATGATTATGATGATATGTGCAGACAACATCCTAACTTGTCAAAGTATCGTGATGACTTTTTCAAACAACATGTTAACTTGTCAAAGTATAATGATGACTTGTGCAAATGACATGGTAACTTGTCAAAATGTAATGATGACTTGTGCAAACGACATGTTAACCTGTCGATTTATTGTGATGACATGTGCAAACAGCATGTTAACTTGTCAAAGTGTCATGATGACTTGTGCAAACGCCATGTTAACTTGTCAAAGTATAATGATGACTTGTGCAAACCACATGTTAACTTGTCGAATTATCGTGATGACATGTGCAAACAGCATGTTAACTTGTCAAAGTATCATGATGACTTGTGCAAACAGCATGTTAACATGTCAAATTACCATGGTGACTTGTGAAGACAACATGTGAACTTGCCAAAGAATCGTGATGACTTGTGCAAATGACATGTTAACTTGTATTATACTGACATGTCAAACGTACTGTTAACTTGTCAAAGTATTATGATAATTTGTGCAAATACCATGCTAACATGTCAAAATTACATGATGGCATGTGTAAACAGCATGTTAACTTGTGAAATTATCGTTATGACATGTGTATACAGCATGTTAACTTGTCCAAGTATCATGATGACTTGTGCAAACGACATGTTAACTTGTCCAAGTGAAATGATGACTTGTGCAAATGCCATGTTAACTTGTCAAAATTTCATGATGACATGTGCAAACAGTATGTTAACTTGTCAAACCATCGTGATAACATGTGCAAACAACATGCTAACTTGTCCAAGTATCATGGTGACTTGTGAAAGCGACATGTAAACTTGTCAAAATTTCATGATGACAAGTGCAAACAGCATGTTAACTTGTCAAGGTATCGTGATGACTTGTGCAAATGATATGTTATCTTGTGAAATTATCATGATGACTTGTACAAATAACATGTTAATTTGTCAAAGAATCGTGATGACTTGTGCAAAACACATGTTAATTTATTTAGGTATTATGAGCATGTCATCACGATAATTCGACAAGTTAACATGCTGTTTGCACATGTCATCATGACATTTTGACAAGTTAACATGTCGTTTGCACAAGTCATCATGTTATTTTGACAAGTTAACATGTCGTTTGCACAAGTCATCATGATACTTTGACAAGTTAACATGTTGTCTGCACATATCATAATGATTATTTGACAAGTTAACATGCTGTATTGGCAAGTCAGCATTGTCTTTAGACAAGATATGATGTAAATTGCACATGTTAATATGCTTAAATGACAAAATAATATCATCATTTCAGAAGATAGGAAAAGTATTGATAGCATAAGACAGTCACGGCGTTCCATAGCCAAGGCTAATGACTACGTGTTTGTTTTTTAAAGGTATCTTACGATATCAAATCATCTGTAATCCGTTTTAAAAGATTTAATTCAGAAAAGTGCATTATTGGTCAACAAGCTATATTATCAATCCAAATAATGTTTTCTTGATATTCTGAAGGTGACATTTTTAGATATGTACTACTGTCCCTAAGAAGTAAATTGATTTTTTACATGACATTTCCTGATATTACTAATGGCAATTCTTCTTAAAAGCGAACGGCCAGTAATATTTTCTTTTTCAGAAAAATGCTTATTTGACATTGAATATTAACATCTTCGGGTAAAATAATTATATTATTATTATTTTTCAAAGATGTTATCGACCTTGTATTAATGTAAATGGTTCCTGTAATAACTACTTATAACTACTAATATCAAGTTTTTTTAGACCTTATTGCGAATAAGCCTACGTTCTACTTAGAACATTTTTTGTAATTACCACATGAAGTTTGTAAAAAGATATACTATTAGAAAATATTTTTAAAAAACATCTTTAAAACCAAATGAACGGAAACAGTGGATTTTGTTTATTACATTCTCACATTTGACATTTTCTGTTTTTCAGATTTGTCCCTGTAGTTGGATATTTTACTTTTTTGTCTTAGTTGTGCTATTCTTTGTGACATGATGCGATAATGTCATTTGAGAAATATCATTCTAATTAAACAATTTATGAAATACAATGTAATTGCATTTTCGAATGATTTTCAGTCAGAGTTTTTAAAAGTAAATGCCTTATTGTTTCTCTTCAAATTGTTACTGTTACGTCAGAAGGTAATAAATTTTACAACTGCACCTACTTAAATTATCAAAGTTTCAATAGCAGATGACTAGAAAGATAAATTAATCAACTTGTATACTAATCTAATTACTACACCATCAGTTTTACATTAAGTGACCTATCTAAAGCAAAATCTAAGTGCTTTATATGGTACATAGAGACTTTTTTACGGTGGTAAAAGCTCATGATAGAAAGTTAAATGTCCAAAACTTAATATTTAAGATTTCCCCAATGTACTTTATTCAACCAGACTTTTTTATATAACTTTTATTATTTTTACAATAACTCCTATGACGATTTACGACCTTTTTGTTACCTTAAACAGAAGATCATCACAAAATAAAGGAAATTGGTTGTATAAACACTAGTATTTTATATTTACCATAAACAATGGTAGGATACTACGTCATCGCGCACCTGCTGAATGCTCCCACTTGGACCATTTTTTCGTCGATTCGAAGGTAAAATACAATTTTATTATAAGAAAACGTAAGAGTATTAAAAAATCATGTAGCGCACCAAAGAATGGCTATAGTACTTGAGATAATTGTAAAAAAAGTTTATAGATTCATTGCCTGGTTTAAGCCTGAAAACGGGATAAGTGTTTTTCTCTGAATGCTCCCACTCGGACTTTTCCCGAAACATCTAAGAAATAAGGTTGAAAACCTTCTTAAAAATTATGTTTAACGTACCGGAATATAAACCGAGTCATGTTTATCCATTTTTCTAGATTAGATTCAAATATTTCTATTCAAAAGTCAGTTTTTTTTAAAGTTTTTTTAAAAAAATGGAAAATGCTCCCACTTGGACTCGATTTCAGAGATGCTCCCACTCGGACCCAAATATATACATTTTGAATGCACATTGATGTGCCAAGCTTTTATGGATTATTCTAACAATTTTCAAACCATTTTGTCTATAACTGTGTTGACGACATTAACTTTTACCTTCTTTTTACAGACATCACTTCTTACGTCGTTGGGCAGGACCCGGTGCCATGGCAAAGTTTCAACTGACAGGATCACTTTACAAAAAGGTGCACTTGGCTTGTGTTGGATCCGAAGGGATGATTCAAAATCATTGCCAACAACAAAGATAGGACTATAAGACTTTAAATGAACAGTTTGGATCTCAGGAATCAAGTTTTTTGAGATGTTAAAACAATGGTGGTGCTTTATAAAGAAGTCATTATACATTGTTTAGTACCATACTGGATTGAGATTCTGTTGGACTCGTACACACATTAGAGGCCTGCATTTATTCAATAATTGCTGACTTCAATATCTTGTAAATAATTTAAATCACAATGATTTGCGTGTTTGTTTAACTTGTGATTTAGATTTTATAACAACAAAATGGTACGCTTATGAACATAAAGAAGTCAATATCTATCGGTTGATTTGAATAGTTTATTAAAGAACAACATGTGAATCATTTTTGTCATGAACTGGTTAAAAAGTCAATGTACTGCCTTACCATGGCATATAAAGCATGCATCACACTTCTTGACAACTTTGACATTTTTAAGTATGAAAGTTATCATATGTACCTATTTTTACCTAAAATAACAAAATTAAATAAATAAGAAAACAAAGATAACAGTTATTTCTTCATCACAGTCTTTACCATATCTTGGTAATTACAATTGAAATTTTATATAATTATATGTACATAATTTTGCTATTAAAAACAATTTTCAAACATTAAGGAATATGTGAAATGCGTACTGCAAATGCTTGTCCACATTATATGTAATCATTAAAATATACATGTCTGTATTCATTTCTTATTTAAGAATTCAACTTACACTTAAAAGAAAATTATTTCTAATTACCTCCCTTTATGAAATATTAATTCGGTATTATCAATATAAATAATGCTTTTTGGAACATACAATATTGATAAATCTTCATTAGGGCATTATATTTATTATATAAAACCAAAGTTGATTTCAGGATATTTAAAAGACATTAAAATAATAACAATCATACAAGGAGGAATAACAGACAATAAAATCCCCCACAAAAAAGGAGGAAATACATTTCATAGGGGAAGTAACCCTTACATACATATTAAAATCCAATTAATGACACTCGTGAAAATTGATGAAAAATAATAAATCATGACAAAAATAACACTCCCCTGAAAAAAACAACAAAAAAACAACAAAGAAGCATTAAGTGAACACTTCTGGGCCTTATGCTCTGCTATTCACTTCTATCTGCACTGTTCCAGTTTTGTTTTCTTAAATTAAAACAGTATACGGAAGTTTTATTCAATATAAAGTTTCAAGTTTATATCTCAAATACCTTTAGAGGTATGGTCCTTGCAAACTAATCATAGTGAATACAAAGGGCAATAACCCCAAAACTGGAGAGTTGTCATTCTTGTTTGTGGTATATCTATCCTTTAGTGAAGTTTCAGATAAATTGATCCTTTTTGATACATTGTCCAATGATTTACGCAAAAACTGAACAAAAGACAATTACTTCAAAGAGCTACAATTCTTGTGTTTTCTAGAGTATCCCTCCTCACTGAGATATATCAACAGTTGGTATCTAAAATATTTGCTCCAGCTATTCCGTGCCAAGATGTCCTACCATGTGCTTCCTTTCGTCGCAATGTGGTTTATCCCTTTTCCCATACTGGTCACAAACACAAATACTTTCTGCAAAACAAAACGTTATTATATTTTTAAAATGTATAATCAATTTGCTTCTTATTTCAGGGACTCTATTTAACGAGGAATTGTTTCAACACAACTCTTTTTCTTTTTTTAGGCCGATAACTGATCCTCTAAGAAGACATATTTACGAGACTGTTATGATAAAATATGTCACAATTTAGTGATCTAAATATTAGTATAGTATTTTAAAAATGCTGTTTCATTGAATTATAACTGATAATATGAATATATTAACTTGTTTATAAAGATAATTTGAAAAAAAAAAATCTTAACACAGCAATGTGCTTTCAAAATATGTGTATATTTAGGTCCGAGTGGGAGCATCTTTTAAGATGAGTCCGAGTGGGAGCATTTTCCATTTTTATAAAAAAGAATTAAGAAAAACTGATTTCTGAATGGAAAAATTTGAAACTAATCTCGAAAAATGAATAAACATGACTCGGTTTATGTTCCTGTACGTTGAAAATAATTTTCAAGAAGGTTTTCAACCTAATTTTATATATTTTTCGGGAAAAGTCCGAGTGGGAGCATTCAGAGAAAAACACTTATCCCGTTTTCAGGCTTAAACCAGGCAATTAATCTATAAACTTTTTTTACAATTATCTCAAGTACTATAGCCATTCTTTGGTGCGCTATATGATTTTTTAATACTCTTACGTTTTCTTATAATAAAATTGTATTTTACCTTCGAATCGACGAAAAAATGGTCCAAGTGGGAGCATTCAGCAGGTGCGCGATGACGTAGTATCCTACCATTGATAAAGCCGTTTTTATTTCGGCTCGGTCGTACAAATAGTAATTTCTTTAGCAAGACAATTATCAGACAGCTTTGATGCCACTTCAGAGAAAATGTACAAAAATGTTGAGTACAAAAGTACAAAAATGTTGAATAAGAAACAAAGAACATGTGCAATACCTCTTTATCAATTACAAATGTACTTTTAAACTTAATTAAGATCAACTGCCTTAACACAACAACCGACCTTCCCATCTTCGTTACATAAACCAAAGATGCTTATTCTGCAACATTTTGAATAAATGTTCTGTGTAAATTTCAGTTGAGAATTGAAAATGTGTTATCAATTTTATTTATTCTGAAACAAAAACGCCCTCCTTTTCATCTATTACATGTATCTAGATTACCTCAACCGTCCATGAACAGACTGGTTTAACATAAGTCTGCAATATCTTCAGTTTTTCGTATTCGGCGTTATAGGGATACCGTCTATATAAAGTATGCACTGGAAATTTCTGTATGTTTTGCCCTGAAGATCTTTGGTTAAAACTGCCACATCAATTTGCATCATAAAAAGGTATCTTAAAGACATGTATAACTGGGGAACATAAGCTACTCTTGCTATTATACATGTAATAAGTACTGTTAACTGAAAACCCAAAAGAAATCCAGTAGTACAGGACTTATCATCTGATAATGTCATCGTAGTTATTCACCTTCTAATAAATATCTTATTATGACTGCGAAATTTGATACGAGTAAAAACAATATTAAACACATGTAATTATTTGATAAAGATGATTTCCTTTCTCTATAATTTTTCATGTATCACTACATATCAGTTTAGGCCCTTAGATTAATTTAAGCACAACGATAATACAAATTTGTAAATTTTGAATACTTGAAAATATGCACTTATCAGTGTAGATATTTATCTCGCGGCATATACATTTTATAAGCTGCGGTCTCACTTAATCCCGGCAGAGCCTAGGACCATTCCGGTAAGTTACCGAAATGATCCTGGACGATCCGGGGTGAAATTATTGTTGCGGTCACACTAACCCCGGTAGCACTACGATTATTTTCAACTAACCACCCAGGATGCGCTCCGGATTATCAAGTGAAACTACGGCTCATGCCGGTGCTTCCTTTGTAGTTCCCGGATGACGCCGGAAGAGCCCCGGTTGACCCAGGCAGAGCCCCGGTCGATCCAGACAGAGCCCCGGCAGAGCCTAGGACGATCCAGGCAGAACCCGGGTAGAACCCATGTGGATTGAAAACGCGCGAATATGATTACATATGTACATATTCTTATTTAATATAATATCTATTGTTCAAGAAAAGTAATTCATGATGATTTTCTGTAAAATCTTTATGCAAGGCTGGATAGAAGGTAAATGGGAAGGGTTTTAATACAAACAAGTGCAATCATCGCATATCGTCGTGATTCTTTTGAAATGAACCGGGCTTTGCCGGGGCTCAACCGGGATTAACCGTAGCTCCAGGTCATCGTCCGGGGATCTGCCAGCAACCTCCGGGGCTCTACCGGCATTCACCGGGGCTCTGCCAGCATTCACAGGCGCTCTACCGTAGCTCTACAGGCTATCATACCCCAGATCATCCACGGTTTGTGTCAGTAGAGCTACGGTGCTTCCCCGGTGTAACAACGGTCGTTCCCGGCTAAGCTAAGGATGAAGCCGGCAAAGCTACACTTCTAGGATCGTCCCGGATGACCCCGGTGATATTAAATATTTTATTCCCTCCAGGGTCGAATGCCGCATGTTCCCGTATCATCCCGGACGTTGACGGCAGTGTTACGGATGTAGCCAGGTTGTTCTCGGTCGTACCCCAGATCACCCCGGACGTCTACCGGGGCTCTGCCGGGATCTCAGTGAGACTGTAGCTTAATATATAAAGATGTTGTTTAATTTGGTAAAAATGAAAATAACACGTTCACAATGCAGTCTATGCATTCTACAGCTGTATCAGTGATAGATACAATACATGATGTTAATAAGTAAATGACTTGCAAAGGATTTACACATTTGAACAATCATTCAAAATAAAATACATCAATTTCTGTGATATAGCTAATTTTAAATGATTTCTTGATTTTCTTAAACTTAAATAATAAATAAATGTATTGTTACGAGCCAGGCGTAACGAGAAAGAAAAGCCAGCAACAAACTTGTAACAATAACAAATTTATTACAGAAAAATTATTAAAGAAAAATTAAAACAACAAATTATGTGTACAAATACCTGAAGTCCAAATATAAATGTAAAATTCAAATGTCTAGTCTGATCCTGGAATGATCCCTTTTTGAATAGCACAGTTAAATCCAAGAACACTTTAGAATAAATTCCCACAATAAAATCCACAAGAATAATTTTAACTATCTAAAAATAATCCAAGCTCCAATAAATCACTTAATATCCAAGTTGAATAATACTCCAAATATATTGATGACTTAAAACGTAACCGAAGACTCAAAAAATCATTGATGACTTAAAAGGTAATTGTTGACTTAGAAGATCACTGATGACTTAAAAAGGTAAGGTAATGAAAAATGTCACTTTATATATATTAACTAAGAAAATTCCAGAAAGGTCTATTATGTTCTAAAGTAATCATAATCTAGCAACTTCAACAATAAAGATCATTCCAGAAGTTTCTATCTAAATATAATGCAAGAGTTTTTCTACAACAGT